AACTCATATTAAAAAAATGGGAGTATAAAAAAAAAAAAATAAAAAAAAAAAAATGCAGTCCACACCAGTACCACTGACGGTCTGTGTGGGAGAGAGAGCGTCATGCGCGTGCGTGCACATGTTCGGAACCTGTGTCTGAAACGAAACCCATTACACGCGGCGAAAGACTGCTGGATCGCTACGTAAAGGAACCATGACAAAGCCCTGGTACTGCTTTCACTGCCGCATCGTCCCCCTGACCGGACAGTAATGTCAGACATACGCGGTGTAGCCTAAGTTCGAAGAGATAGGAGCACCTCCCTCCACATGCATATAAACGAGGCCCCTCTACATATTTATAAAAAAATATGTAGCATGATAAATGAGACAAACTCCGTCCCAAGTGCGAACAATATATATTATATGTCTTTGATCTTGTTCTCTTCTACACTACATGTTTCGGCCTCTATCGGCCATCATCAGGTGTATACTCCCAACGTTGCTGCCACACTGCACCCAGTCTAAAATTTAACATTTAAAAACACATTGTTATTTTCTTCGTATTATCAACATCTACCTCGTTGATATGTGTCTGGTATGTAGATTATATTGCACACGTCAAATTTTCCTGTAGTAGCACTATAAAATCTTTAGTTATGATTTTAAAATCCTTTAAAATGTTCTCTAAATTTTAAATTTAGAATTTAAAATTGTTAGGGTTACTCGCCCTATGTCTAAAGTGCTGGAGCGGCTAGTTCTTGTTTCCACACTGTACAGGTGTTATTCTGTGTAGTCTTCCTGTGTGCGTGCCGCTGCTTGTCTGCACACGTGTGCTACGTGAGCACACGTGTGCAGACAAGCAGCGGCACGGTCACTTATGGTATCGGGCCCCGTGAGAACCTATGACCATATAATTGTACACCTCTAAGATATTACGTTTGTTTTTCCTCTTTATTGGACCTTCTCTTCGAAGAGGGGAGGTATTGGCCTTTTTAAGTACATAGGTGTCCACGTATTTCGCTATCATCAGCCGGGGTTACAATATTCACACAGGGACTACGGTGTGTCCAGGATCCGTTAGAACTCTTTTTTTTTTTTTTGCCCTGCAATGCCATCTGTTGGCGAGTCGTGGCATTAAGATTCTTGAAGTTTCATCTCTGGCTGTCTATAATTTCAAAGCGTAAGCATCGCTGCATCATGTGTTCTGACCTTGAATGTAACAGTACTGTTCTGACGCTCGTCGGAAAATGGCGGTTGAACAGAGAGCCAACATCAAATTTTGTTTGGAGTTAGGCAGAACAGTCGGAGAAGCGTACGAAATGAAGAAAAGTGTGTATGGTAGTGATTGTTTGAGTCGCTCGAATATTTTTCGATGGTGTGCTGTATTTCGTGACGGCAGGGAGGACATTGAAGATGCTCCACGTGCATCAAAGCCGAGAACAGGTCGCACTGAAGAAAATGTGAAAAAAGTGATCGAAATCCTTGCATCAGACAGATGCGTTTCTGCAAGACTCATCGAGGCGCTTTTGGGAATGCCAAAAAGTACTGTGCATCAAATTTTGACCGAGGATTTGAGCAAACGGAAGGTCTGTGCGCGGTTTGTACTGTACACGCTGTCAGGCAATGAAAAACATGCCAGAGTGGAACACTGCAAAAACATGTTACGGTCGGCCCAAAGTGATACAAAATTTACAAAATCGATTGTTACTGCTGACGAGACATGGTATTTTCAATATAAGCCTCTCACAAAGCGGCAGAGTGCAGCGTGGTTGAGCCCAAAGAAAGTGCGCATGCGAAAGAGTCGAGTAAAGACACTGCTAACTGTTTTCTTCGATTCCAAAGGAATCATTCACAAGGAATTTCTGCCAGAAGGTCAAACAGTGAATTCTGATTATTATCTCGGAGTCCTCAATCGTTTGTGGGCGAGAATTCTTCAAATTCGACCTGAATATCGAGAGCAAGGTTCCGGGTCCCTCCTCCACGTCAATGCCACACCCCACAAATCGAAGATCGTGCGCGATTTTTTTGGCCAGAAAAGGGATCCCAGTCCTTGATCATCCTCCGTATTCGCCAGATTTGGCTCCAGCAGATTTCTCGTTGTTCCCAAAAGTTAAGTTGGCGATGAAAGGAGACCGTTACGACACCATCCAGGACATTCAATGTAGCGCAGTTTTAAATGCGACTTCACAAGAGGAATACGGTGAGTGTTTGCGAAAACTTTTCAATCGATTCCAGCTATGTATTGATTCAGAAGAGTGAAAAAAGAGTGAAATTTTACAGATAATTCACATTTTCTATTTTTAATGAGCACAGTCCTAACAGAATCTGGACACACTGTGTATAATCGTACCTTATTTACACTATACATAAATGCACAAACTGACATCACATTGTATTGTAATACATACAGAGAGCTCTGTCAGTGCAGGTTATGCCTTAACTTACGTAAACCTCAGAGACGGCAGTTATACACTTGAACGGTAGCAAGACTGACCGCCGCCACATTTAAGCCTCTTGCATTTCCTGTGCATGGCTTCTTGTCCAATTGCACGCACATTTGGATTTTGATGATTTAGGATGTCTTCTGCCTGTCACGCCAGTGCAAATCACG